AGGGAGAGAGGAGAGAGAGGGGGAGGAGGGGAGGAGAGGGAGAGGGGGAGGGGGGAGGAGGAGGAGGAGGGGAGGGGGAGGGGAAGGGGGAGGGGGGGGGGGGGAGAGGGAGAGGAGAGGGGAGAAGAGAGAGGAGGGAGGAGGAGAGGGGGAGGAGAGGGGGGGGGAGGAAGGAGAGGGGGAGGGGGGGAAGGGGAGGGGGAGGGGGGGATGGGGGGAGAGAGGGGGGGGGGAGGAGGGGGAAAAGGGGGGGGGGGGAGGAGGGGGGGGGGGAGGAGGGGGGAGGGAGGAGGAGGGGGGGAGGAGGGGGGGGGGAGAGGGGGGGGAGAAGAGAAGGAGGGGGAGAGGAGAGAGGGGGAGAGGAGGGAGGAGGAGGAGGGGAGGAGAGGAGGGGGGGGGGAGGAGGGGAAGAAGGGGAGGGGAAGAAGAGAGAGGGGGGGAGGAGGAGGGGGAGGGGGGAGAGAAGGAGGGGGGGGGGGGGGAGGAGAGGGAGGGGGGGAGGAGAGGGGGAGAGGGGGGAGAGGAGGGGGGAGGGGAGGGGGAGAGGGGAGAGAGAGAGAGGGGAGGGAGGAGGAGAGGAGGGGGGGAGAGAGAGGAGGGGAGAGGAGGAGAGGGAGGGAGGGAGGAGGAGGGGAGAGAGGGGGGAGAGAGGGAGGGAGGGGAGGGGAGGGGGGGAGAGGGGGGGGGGGGAGGGGATGGGGAGAGAGGGAGGAGGGGAGGGAGAAGGGGGGGAGGGGGGGGGAGGGGAGAGGAGAGAGAGAGAGGGAAAGGGGAGGGGAGAGGGAGAGGGGGAGGAGGGGGGGAGGAAGGGAGGAGGGGGGGGGAAGGAGGGGGGGGGGAGGGGAGGGAGGGGGGGGGAGAGAGGAGGGAGGGAGGAGGAGAGGGGGGGGAGGGAGAGGGGGGGGAAGAGGGGGAGAGGGAGGAGAGGGAGGAGGGAGGGGGGGGAGGGGAGGGGGGGGGGAAAGGGGGGAGAGGAGGGGGAGGGGGGAAAGGGGAGGAGGAGAGGGGAGGGGGGGGGAAGGAGGAGAGGAGGGGGGGGAAGGGGGGGGGGAGGAGAGGGGGAGGAGGGGGAGGGGGGAGGGGAGGGGGAGAGGGGGGGAGGGAGAGGAGGGGGGAGAGGGGAGGAGGACGGGAGAGGGGGGAGGGGAGGGGGGGAGCAGGAGGGGAGGGGGAGGAGAGGGAGGAGGGAGGAGGGGGGGAGAGAGGGAAGAGGGGAGGAGAGGAGAGGGGAAGGAGGGAGGGAGGGAAGGAGGGGGGGGGAGGGAGGGGAGGGGAGGGGGGGGAAGGGGAGGGGATGGGAGGGAGGAGGGGAGGGGAGGAGAGGGAAGAGAGAGAAGGAGAGAAGAGGGGGAGGAGGAGAAGAAGGGGAGGGGGGGGGGGGGGAGGAGGGGAGAGGGAGAGGGGGGAGGGGAGGGGAGGAGGGGGGAGGGGAGAGGAGGGAAGGGGGGGATGGGGGAGGGAGGGGAGAGGGAGGGGAGAAGGGGGAGGGAGAGGGGGGGGAGGGGAGGGGAGGGAGGGGGAGGGGGGGGGGGGGGGGGGGGGGAAGGAGAGGGGAGGAGGGAGGAGGAGAGAGAGAGAGGAGAGGAGGAGGAGGGGGAGGGGGGGGGGGGAGAGGGGGGGGGGGGGGGAGGAAGAGGGAGAGGGAGGGGAGAAGGAGGGGGGGGGAAAAAGAGGGGGGGGGGGGGGGGGGAGGGGGGAAGGGGGGGAGGGGGGAGAAAGAGGGAAGGGGGGAGAAAGGGGAGAGAGAGGAGGGGGGGGGGGGGGGAGGGAGGAGGAGAAGGAGAAGGAGGAGGAGAGGAGGGGGAGATGAGGAGAGAGGGGAAGAGAGAGAGGAGGAGGAAGAGAGAGGAGAGGGGAGGAGAAGGGAGAGAGAGAGAGGAGGAGGGGGGGAGGAGGAGAGAGGGAGGAGAGGAGGGGGAGGGAGGAGAGGGGGGAGAGGGGGGGAGAGAGGGGGGGGGGGGAGAGGGAGAGAGAGAGAGAGAGGGAGGGAGGGAGAGGAAGGGGGGGGGGGGGAGGGGGGAGAGAGAGGAGGGGGGGGGGAGAGGGAGAAGGGGGGAGGGAGGAGAGAGGAGAGAGAGAGGGGGGGGAGGGGGGGGGGAGGGGAGGGGGGGGGGGGGGGGGGGGGAGGGGGATGGAGGGGGGGGGGGGGGGGGGGGGGGGAGGAGAGAGAAGGGGAGGGGAAAGGGGGGAGGAGGGGGAGAGAGGGGGGGAGGGAGGAGGGAGGGAAGGGGGAGGGGGGGAGGGATGGGGGGGAGGGGGGAGAAGGGGAGGGGAGGAGAAGGGGGGGGAGGAGGAGGAGGAGGGGGGAGGAGGGAGGGGGGGAGAGGGGGGGAGAGGGGAGGAGGGGGGGAGGGGGGGGGGGGGGAAGGGAGAAGGGGAGGGAGGGAGAGAAGGGGGGAAGGAGGGGAGAGAGGGAGGGAGAGAGGGAGAGGAGGGAGAGGGGAGGAGAGGGAGAGGAGATGGGGAGAGAGAGGGAGGGAGGGAGGGGGGGGAGGGAGGGAGGGGAGGGGGGGGGGGGGGGAGAGGGGGGGGGGAGGGAGAGGGAGAGGGGGGAGGGAGGGGGGAGGGGAGGGAGGGGGGGGGAGGGGAGGGGGGAAGAGGGGGGGAGGGAGGAGGGGGGAGGGATGGGGGAGGGGAGAGGGGAGGGGGGGGAGGAGGGGAGAGAGGGGGGGGGTGGAGGGGAGGGGGAGAGGGGGGGGGGGGGGGGGGAGAGGGGGGGGGGGGGGGGGGGGAGGGGGGAGAGATGGGGGGAGGGAGAGAGGGGGGGAGGAGGGGGAGGGGGGGGAGAGAGAGGGGGGGGGAGGGAGAGGGGGGAGGGGGGAGAGAGGGGGGAGGGGGGGGAGGGAGAGGAGGGGAGAGGGGAGGGGAGGGGAAGGGGGGGAGAGAGAGAGGGAGGGGGGGGGGGGGAGGGGGGAGGAGAGAGGAGAGGGAGGAGAGTTGAGGAGAGGGGGGGGAGAGGAGGGGGGAGAGAGGGGGGGAGAGGAGGGGGGGAGAGGGAGGGGGGGGGGGGGGGGAGAGGAGAGGGAGGAGGGGGGGAGGGAGAGGGGGAGGGGGGAGGGGGGGGGGGGGGAGGAGGGAGGGAGGAGGGGGAGGAGGAGGGGGAGGGGAGAGAGGGGAGGAGGGTGGGGGGGGGGGAGAGGGGGAGAGAGAAGGGGGGGGGGGGGATGAGGAGAGAGGGGGGGGAGGACAGGGGAGAGGGGGATGAGGGGGGGAGGGGGAGGAGAGAGGGGGGGGGGGAGGGGGAGATGGGGAGAGAGAGGGAGGGGGGGAGAGGGGGAGATGGGGAGAGAGGGGGGGTGGGAGAGAGGGGGGGGGGGAGGGGGGAGAGAGGGAGGAGGGAAGGAGGGGGGGGGGAGGGGGGGGGAGGGAGGGGGAGGGGGGAGATGGAGTGGAAGGGAGAGGGGGAGAGAGGAGAAAGGGGGGGGAGAGGGGGGGAGGAGGGAGGAGGGAAGGGAGGAGAGTGGGGAGAGAGGAGAGGGGAGGGGGGGGGGAGGGAGGGGGGGGGAGGGGGGGGGAGGGGAGGGGGAGGGAGGGGGAGGGAGGGGGGGGGGGGGGGGGGGGGGGGGGGAGAGAGGGAGGGGGGAGGGAGGGGGAAAGGGGGGGGAGGGGGGGAGAGAGAGGGAGAGAAGAGGGGGGAGAGAAAGAGGGAGGGGGGGGGGGGAGGGGGGAGAGGGGGGGGGGAGAGGGGGAAGGGGGGGGGGGGAGAAGGGGGGGAGGGGGGGGGGGGAGAGGGGGAGGGGGGGGGAGGGGGAGGAGAGGGGGGGGGGGGAGGGGGAGGGGGGGTGTGGGGGTGGGGTGTGAGGGAGAGGGGGGGAGGAGAGAGAGGTGGAAAAGAGAAGAGAAAGAGGGGAGGGGGGAAATAGAAAGAGGGGGAGGAGAAAGAGGGGGAGAAAGAGGGGGAGAAAGAGAAAGAGGAGGGGGAGAAAGAGAAAGAGGGGGAGAAAGAGAAAGAGGGAGTGGAGAAAGAGGGGGAGAAAGAGAAAGAGGGGGGGGAGAAAAGAAAGGGGGAGAAAGAGAAAGAAGGGGGAATGAGGAAAGAGAAAGAGGGGGGAAAGAGGGGAGAAGAGAGAAATGGGGGAAAGAAAGGGGTGTGGGTAAGAGGGGGGAAGAGGAGGGGGGGGAGAAAGAGTTTTCAATGCATGAAGGTAAAAACCTGCTGTGTGCAGTAGCTCCCCCCAGAGCCTCATCGCGATCCAGCAATGTGTATGACAGCCTTGGCTGTCCCGGGTCTCTGCCTCCACATTGGCTGAGACAGCAAGCGGGAGCCATTGCCTCCCGCTGCTGACAATCACACCCAGTCAGCCAATGAAGAGAGAGATTGAGCCTTGCCAAGCCACGGCTCCATATGTGAATGGACACATAAAGCAGTGGGTAGCCCCATAGCAAGCTGCTTGCTGTGAGGGCACCCGACAGACAGGAGTAGCCAGGAGAGCCTGCAAGGGACCCAAGTAGAGGAATATCCAGGCTGCTCTGTGCAAAACCACTGCACACAGCAGGTAAGTATAGACATGTTTGTTATTTTATAAAAAAAAAATTAAAAATTAACCTTTAGAATCACTTTAAGTACAAGTCATATACAAGTCAGATGTTTATAGCTTGGGGACTGCCTGTATAGTATAATAAATGGTGGAGATATTCAGTATTCTGCTGGTGAAGACATGCTGTGTACGGTTGACAGGGACAAATACTGCTACTGAAAGTGGGGAAAAGGAACAGGGGCCTTGGGAATATAGTGTTCACTGGTTAGTTTAGTTTTTTTTCTAAAGGTATTGTACTTGTTCTTTAATGTAGCAGAAGGTTTACTGATATGGTGCATTTTATATTATATACATTGCAACATTGATGCCTGGATAGAAAATTGCCGTTGTTTCAAATGTATGGCTAGACAGTTGCAGTGCACACACGATTGATAGACAAAGATTTTTTTTTTCATCTTGTAAAGTTACCGATAGGTGTGCTTTCTTTAAAAATAGGCAATAAAAAGCGACAAAGTACATTACCTTTTTTGGGTCCATATTAAATTTTTTTCTTCCCATAGCAATCTGTTTATTCCTTTGTGTAGTTTTGCTACAAAAATAGACAAAACAACATTTAGAAAAAAAATCAAGTCCACACACACACACTTTATTGTAGTCTCATAAATCTCTACACGGCAACTGTACAAAATGAATGGTCCAGGCATTTCACATTGTTACTAAAGCCATAAAATGGATGGGCTGCCCTTTTTATCAGATTTGCTGTAAGCCTCTTCCGGAACCATTAACTGTGCTCCGCTAATTGTTCTTAAATGGTAGGGAAGGCTGCAAATGTATCAGCATTTAACAGCAGTACAAATAGCTGCAATCTTTATAGTAGGATTTCATAAAAAATAGGTCGAACAGCCAACCAGATAAATATTTTTTATTGCAAGAAAATGATTGTACTTTTATATTTAACATGCTGAGCATTATGCATGTAGTGCCTAGTAACATACAATCTTTCAGTGTTACCCCTAATAGAGTCTTGGTTTCTTTAGTTTTGAAATGAAAGCAGGAATCTTGTTTACTGAAAAACAACTGTTTCCAGATTGGTCTGCTGTGTTAAATCAAGGTGAAAAATAAGTAGTGGGCCATGAAAAAAAACAACTGAGAGCAGCACTTGTTCGGGTAAAAAGAAACAAGTAATTCAGGAATGAAAGCAGTATTAAACCTAAAAGCAAACATATTGAAGTTTACCAATTCTTAGTTGTGATGGCTGCATTAGTTTTCTTTTTTATGATTTCTTTAGTTTATTTTCATCTGGTGATCCAGCCAGTAATTCTATTGTTTTTCAACAGAGCAAGCTTGTTTTTAGATATAACAGTTAGAGGATTAAGACAAACCATTTAACATTGACAAGTGCTTACAATGATCATAGTTTATTTATTCATGTAAAACCTTTAACTCTAAAAGGGGAAAAAAACATTTTGCTGTAGTTTGGCTTCAATTTGTTAATGTATCTAAATCTGCCAGTACATCTAACACTCTCCTCCACTTAGACTTGCAATGTTGCTGTCCATAGCTTCCTCTGTGCTTCTTCATCCAGTGTGTAGGCACACATGGGTTTGAATTATGAAAGAATTTTCTTTCGAAAATCTTTCTAAGATTTTTCGTTGAAATTTCGCACCATTAGTGGGCCACAGCAATAGCCGATTTTCGAGCAACCAATTCAATCGAATTTGAGTGATAGGGCATGTTGGAAATCTTTTGAAAAACAAACAAATTTCTAATCAATGATGGGAGAATTGTGCGAGGAATGCAATTGAAAAAGAAATGAGCGCGAGCTGTGACCTGGAAAGAAAAAAAATTCTTTCCTGTAGCAACATGAAGTAAGATTAAAGGCTTAGTCGGTCGAATTTCGGAATCAATGGTGGCACCATCGGATTACAAAACTTCGAATTTTCTAAAGAAAATTTGTTCGGAATTCGACCCATGTATGGCCTGCATAAGACAGGAGATGTGTTACTGGCTAGGTTACCAGGTAAAAACAGAGGGGAAAAAGCTTAAAAACAAATGCAGCCACCACAGCTAATGATTGGTAAGCTGCAATATATTAAAGCGGAGCTCCATCCAAAAGGGGAAGCTCCACTTTTTTTGCACCCTCCACTGCGACTTTTGGGGGGGGAGGGGGCAGCGGGTTCCTGGTTCTGACAGGTACCCGCTCTCGCTTCTGGTTCAATTTGCTGCGGTGAACTGAGACAGAAGTAAATCACCTCTTTTTTTTTTTTTTTTTTCGCGATAAATGAAAAAAAGAGCATATAATTTGAAAAAAAAAAAAATTTTATTTACTTTCTACTATAAAACATATCCAATAAAAAAAAATCAAATTTCTTCATGCATTTAGACCAAAATGTATTCTTCATGTATTTGGTAAAAAAAAATGCTAATAAGTGTATATCGATTGGTTTGTATGAAACGTATAGCGTCCACAAACTATAAGATATATACCAGATTTTTTTTTATACTAGTAATGGCGGTGATCAGCGACTTATAGCGGGACAGCGAGCTATCTGACACTGACTGACACTTTGTGGGAACTGGCTAACTGCCATTGACATCTCCAGTGACACTAATACAGTGATCAGTACTAATATTATACACTGAAACTGTACTAATAACATTGGCTGGGAAGGGATTAACATCTCGGGCAATCAAAGGGTTAAATATGTGCCTATGTTTACTGTGTGTACTGGGTGGCGCTTTTACTAAAGAACAGGGGCGGACTGACAACTCATGGGGCCCCCAGGCAATAGAGGATCATGGGGCCCCTGTGTCCTCGCACACACCCAAAAAAGCCTATGAAAAAGCCAATGAAAGGTACCAGGGGCATCTCATGGGGCCCCCTACTGACCCCGGGCCCTCGGGCAGTGCCCGAGTGCTCTAATGGTCAGTCCGCCCCTGCTAAGGAATATGCAAAAACCGGAACATCACCACTGTCAGAAGAGAGTTGTGTTGTTTACATTCACAAACCTCTCTTCTGTCAGTGGCTCTGACGATAGGCCATAAATCATTGGCTGGGACTGCTGATCAGCATGTACAGGAGCCAGTGACAGCACAGCTGAGTCGGCGCGCCCCCCTACCTGGAAATGCAGAATCGCGTACATATACGTGATTCTGCGCAGCCGGCCCGCATTGTAGCAGTAACACTACAGTGTGCAGTCGGCAAGTGGTTAAAGTGTTGCTAAACCCACAACAGTAAAATCAGTCTGTATATGCCGTAAAGCACGCTTGATATACTCACTATGGAACCTAAGGGGTTAATCCTCTGCATTGCGTAAAAATGCTGTTCGATCCTGACTTCTCTGATCCTCCCCTTCTTGAAGTGTCCCCCTCTTATTTCCTGATAAGACATATCATGTGGAAACACTGTGCACATGCTCAGTTTGGTGTGTATTGCTACAGCAATTCTTTGTCATAGGAGAGTGCATGTGATTAGTACAAGGCCAATCAGCGCTGTCCAGACAAAGGGTCAGGGGTTCTGCATCCTCCTAGAGCAGAAAGAAAACTCCTCCTACAAGCTTTAACCAGTGCTCTGCTGAACACTGACAGAAGTCATAAGACTGCTCTAACTGCTGATGAGAAAAGGTATTTAGCAGTTTATATTTACTAAAATAATTGTATTTCCATGTTCTGTGTACTGTGGGTGGGAGACCAAATATAGAGAATGCAGGGTCCTGGGTTTAGTAATACTTTAATGTTTCTTATGATGAAAATGCACAAATATATCCACCCTTTAGAGTGATTAGTTCAAAATCTTTGATTGGATGCCATTGTTTACTGCATTCTATTTCCCTTTAAATAATAGAGTAATTCATTCAGACATTAATTTCAGTTCTTACATGAAGTTAATACCAAAAGTGAGAGTGAAGCCCATTTTAAGCAATAGCATAAAATTAAAGATTTGTTTCAAATGAGGCAACATGACATAAAAGTAACAGTTATAAACGTAATAAATTGGCTATTTTTCTAGGATAAATCCTATATTTATTACGGAATGATGTCCCATGACACATTTTCTAGTCAAATATTCCATTGAATGGGGTTTTTTTAAATAAATTGGAGGCACTCCAATATCCTGTTCTAAGCACATCCCACCAAATATCGCACACATGATACCATATCTGACTCTTGGCTGTCGTCTTTGCCTGCAGGCAAAACTGCACGAGGACCATCATGAGAAGGACTTAAAATAGAACATTAATTGGTTCCCTCGTAATTCTAATCATGGATCTTCAGCAAGCTAAAATATTAATGCAACGTGAAATCCAATTTTCCGTCGTCTCCCAAGTTGTTAAAGGCGTTTGGGGATAATCACTGCGCCACATGAGCTAGAAGTGACAATAGTGTGTTGGCTGTCTGATAAAGTTTAGTGGGCCTTGATAATCAAAGGGTCTGAAATACAACTGCTCTTGTAGTCCAGAGCAGCTAAAAGGGTCCTCCATTTCACTTCACTAAACTATAAGAGTATGAAAAGGACAATTTAGCTTTTGCAACAAGGACATTCTACTCTTAAGGGTCTATTTATCACCCATGATGCACACATTTTTCTAATTAAATCTTATGTGCCAAGTGTGTAAATGCCCAAAGGGGACACAGTAAGTATAATAAAATTATTTTAAATACATGCTTAAACAATGTGGCAAGTTGACAAGAGAAAAATTTGGAACTGGGGAAAAATCAAGAGCAGCTCCTCTCCACCTAAATCTCCTTTGCAGCATACATTTTCAGTTATGCTGTTTTTCAATTACTAGCAGCAATCAGCAAATTAGTATCCATCTGGACCAAAATGTTAGTTTAGACAGTCCTATTGATTGTCATTGATTTTCCAGAATTAATTACTTCCCTGGAAACTTAAAAATGTCTTCCCGTTTTATTTCCCTAAAGAGTTGATGCTTCCATCACAAAACAACCAAATTACACAGAGTATGCTGACGCCACCTGTATTAAAAAATAATATTTAATGCTAAATTATTTTAAGTTAACACAGAATCATTTTAAGCCATTTAAAATTATTTCCAAACCTGGCATTCATCAAAGTGTGGGTTTAAAGGAAATCCGTTGCGTAAACAGCATGTGATTACTAGCCTATCCTTTTGAAGATGCTGTCTAGTAGTTTTATGGACTCTTGCTTTTATACAGAGTCTCCAACCTGGTACAAGTACGAAGAATTTTACTTACCTGACCTTCCACTCCCCTGGAGATTGCACTCCCCCATGATCCAACAGTGGACTGTCCCTTGGCCTCACGCCCAGAGCAGAGCTATGGATCCTGCTCTGATCTTGAGGACATCAGGACTCTAGACCACAGGGATGCAGAGGACCGATCTAGCTGGGGGGAGGGAGCAGAGGATCAGGTGAGTATCTCCTTTTATTGTTCTCTGGAAATAAATGAGCAATCAACCCTTGCAGTGGCCAGCCTGATTTTCTCCACATCCTTTGCAACATTCCTTCAATTATAAAGCTAGGAGGTAAATACTACAGAGGGCAAATGCAAATTAAGCAACCAAGTTGGATATTCAG